TTATCTTCGAATTAAAATAAATGTCAAGATTTTGGTCCAGAAACATGTTGTGTCGAGTAAACTAAATATCAAATAATGTTTTCAGCTTGTGTGGCTGATAAACTTAACATTTCCTCTATACCCCTTTTTTCTGCTGACTTCACTCAAAGGCCATGGAGTTGGTCCACTCACTTGAGTCTTTCCAATCGGGCTCTGCCTCTGCGGATGCTGCAATGCGCCGTTCAATTGCCAAATTCCCTCCAGAAGTTTCTGATCCTGAAAAGGCTAGCCAAATTCTATCTGAAGGTAGAGTAATAAAAGTCAAAAATGCTCTTTTCCTCTGTATTCCTGTAATACTTTTATTAGTATTTTACCACCTGCTAATTACTTATTGGTCTACTGCTCTTACAATATTGACAATTTTTAAAAATATCTGCGTCCTTTGTCATATTAGTTGTGATTATCGTCAGCGAGGACCGTGAGCTTGGCACGTTTCCAGAAGTTTCGTCGGCATCGCTAATGAACTTTTCCACTGAGCATCAAACTACAATTCGTTAAGTAGACTATTCGTCTTTATTAGCCTTGAATTTCATGAGAAGACAATCCCTCTAACGAGTTGTCGTTTGGTACTATGAATTGCAGGGCTCACTGACCATGCTGGGTAAAAGTCTGGAGATGTGCCAAGTTCACGGTCCAGCACTGGAAATTATCATCGCTACTATGACAGAGGATCACGGGCAAATTGCGTTCACTTAGGTCCCTCTGACAGCACGACCTAATTGCAAAGCGAGATAAAAGAATATCTGTGCTCTATTTTATTGTCAGACCCATAAGATATATCATTTACCCATGTAAATAGCTGTAGAAAATGAGGTCAAACAAGCCATATTTTTTTAAGGATGATTTTGAGTTGTGGTTTGATCAGCATTTTAGGAACTGATGGCTTATCTTGTTATAAAAATAGAAAAATTTGCTTCCCGATAACTTCCGAATTACCACGATTACTGTAAATCTTGTCGGAATCATATCAATTATAATTACTTAGAATAAAAGTCGACCATTGTACTTTCATTCTAAGTCTTATGGTGTTTCGATATTTTGAAGCATTTATTCTACTTCGTACTTTGGCACATTAATAAAATTTCCCCACATTAACGTTAATAAAATATGAATTGGTGGGCATAGGCTCATGCTTGTGTGACCTAGCGCTTAGATTTTACTTTAACATTTATATTCTTCATTTCTATTCACTTTCTTTGTTGATTATCCTTCTGGCAGAGATGACCTGTTATTCCTATGGTCTTACAAATGCCTCCTTGACTGCTTCACATATTCTTCTATTATTTATTTTCGCAGAGTAAACCATCCTGATTTCTTCCAGACTTTATGGCTATGGTTGTGATTGAGGCCTTCACAAGTTCATTTATCTTAGGTCTCTCATTTAAAGTGCTCCATTTTTTTATATTTCTCTCATATCATTCTTAGTGAGGATCATAAGTCAACTCGATGGACTATTTGCTGCTTATGAGGTGCTATCGGGGCTTTTACGGTAGCAAATTCTACGACTGGCACTTAACTAAAGTCTGGCATTGTTAAAAGCTTCCTGACTTATGACTAATCAGCAATGTGCCTCTATAACTGCTTCACTTGGTGGAAATATAATTTGTCTGTTGAGGCATTTAGGGTGTATGGATATATCTTGTACTTTCTCCATTTGGACATGAAAATTTGCCGCAGCCACAAATTTTTAAATTTTTATGATATTACGCAGATTTCTTAGTTTCTCTACTAATCGATTGCACTAAATTCTGATGTCTTATGGACTTGTTAGTAGAGATTAAGTACTGATATTTCTTAATAGACTATTCTTTATTCGATCTAGATTTCGTCTCATTTCTATACTCTTTTATTTTAGATTCGAACAAACTTCCAGAGTTGCTTGAGCGTATCACAAGCTGTAGTGACCAATTGGAGGCTTACAATCGTCGTCTAGAGGATGAAGTCAGCAACATCAACCAATTATTATTGGGTCTTCGCGCTTACTCCCTCTGCCGGCATGCCTCTCATGCTGAGCGCGAGCGTACAAAGGATAAAATTGTCGTACGCTCCCATAATTTACTCTTGTTTATTATATTTTCGTATGCGTATCCCCTTTCCCTAAGCTTTTGCTTCCTAAACTCGTATTTTGTTTGCTATTCGTCCTTGAGACACTGATGAAATTTATTAATTGCCTTTACGTCGACTGAGGTATTTAATGAAAAAATGTCTTTCTCATAGAATGATGAGATGTTGATCATTCCTTTAAGGTAATTTCTCTCAATTAACCAATCATTTGCCTTCAGATTTTGCTCTTAAACTTCAAATATTACAATTCTCTTTGCACAGGCATTGTTTTCTTTCTATCGTGATTGTTAATTATCTTCTACACCCTTGAAACCAGTCGATCGCTTAGCTATTTAGATGCCGGATCGTTATCTGATCAACTTTGTCCTGGTTTTTTATTATTCCATCTGATTGAATATATGCTTATTGTTAGTTCCTTTTCCGCAGATCTATTAATTTATCATTCGCACTTATTCTCTCTTCCAGATTTGTCTCTGAGGTTCATCTTTGCTTTTTTATCGTATGAATTGCACTTAAAGGCTCAAAATAGCCTTAGTCTTCCGGAGAACTAAGTGATATATTATATGACATGTATTCGACCTATTTCGTTTAAGGTGATGAAGGACTGATATTTGAATTTCTTCACGATATGAGTTGAGCTGACGTTTCCATTGTAATTTCGCATAGCCTTGTTTTCCCAAAAGTTGTTCTCATCCAGGGTGGAGTGGAGTTTCGACCTCGCCTAGGTCCTTTCAACACTCCCAGCGCGAGTCGAACCATGAAAGTGCAGCTTTAATGCTTTACAAATTAATCACTCCGCCACATTGTCACGAGTGCCCTTGAGTCACAGGGCAGATGTGACTTTCAATGAAGGCCAGTCATTTTCCCATGTCACATTCTTTGGTGGGAGGGTCAACGAAGAAAAGTTTTATTTTGCTATAAAAATCGGCTACATAACTTATTTTTTGTGATTCAAAGGGCACTCGTGGAAAGGTGGCGCAGGGGTTAACGTGTCGAGCTTACACGCCACAGTGTCAAGGTTCGACCCCCGCTAGGCGAGGTCGAAACCGCAGTCCATCCCTGATGCAAGCAACTTTTGGGAAAGCAAGGGTATTTGGAATTACAATGGAAAGGTAAGCTTTACTCATATCATTGTAGGAAAATTCAGCCACTAGTCTTTCATCACTTTAAACGAAATAGAGTGAATACATCTTATATAAATTATTTACAAGTAGTCTCTAGACTCTGCTTATAAACTAAAAATAAGTGGCATATTATTTTTTTATAGTTGTTTGACCTTGTTTTCGAAACTTGGTAATATTGACAGAAAGACCTAGAGGAACGCATCTTGTCAGGAGTCCATAGTATTCATGATCATTTCCAGAGTCCGGACAAAGTGCGTTCCTCCGAGCCTTTCTGCCAAAATGACTAAGTTGTGAAAACAAGATTAAACAACTTCTATACAACGAAAGAGGTCCGCGACCATACACAAAGCCAAACCATCCTGGTCTTCATGCCTTCGGCATATTTTTTGTTGCATTTTGTTATTTATTCAATATCCGATCAATATTACTCTTCTTTAATTGCATGCATACATTTGTGTATATTTCTTGCCATCTTTATTTTTGTATCTTATTCTATCCTCAGAATATTCACAGCAAATTGTCTAAACTTACTGATCTGCGCAAAGAATTGACAAGTCATGTATCCAACCTTCCAGATCTGGCCCTTCTGCCTAGTATGACTCAGAATCTTGATCCTCTGCCCCCTGTTGGCGACCTTTTCGGTTGAACGGTCTCAATTTCTATAATCGACACTTATTGATGCTCTATACACAAATCAATTCATGGACTCAATTCTACGAATGCATTGGAATTCGTCTCTGTTCGGTTTAATATACGACTTATGTAAATACATCTTTTATACGATTGCATTTCCTTTTCACTCCCATATTTTCGGCCCAAACTTTTTTGAATTTCAGCTTGATCTTGCTCGTCATGCTCTTCCGACATACACTTACTTTGGCATTATTTACACGTCTATGTGAAGCTTTATTTCTGTCATCTTTATTAGTTTTTATTCTAAATGGCCTTCACGTAATCATCACGTATTATTAGCTTGGTTGCGGCCTTTTGCAATTTAGTCGTTCTGTCAGGGAGACCTAAATGAATCTACTTTATATGGAGTCATCTGTCTTAGTAGTCATGATAATATGTAACTTTAAAACATGGACTTGGCACATTTCCAGAAGTTTTACGGGCATTGCCAATGAGCCTTATTAACCTACAACTCGATTTAGGCCCTCGTTAACTCCTGCTAAGCTTTTGATATGTAATTTGTTTACGAATGAAATCGCTTTTCTTGTATTCGTTTCCTTAAATTGGTCTGATCGTTGTATAATCTGACCTACTTTTATCCTAATGCATGTTTAAAGCTGTTGAGCAATGATGATTCTGACTTTTCAGCCAAGTAATATTTAATGCTCTTCGGATTTCGGCCTCTATTCCTACCTTAAATTTATTTCAAAATCAGGAAAATTAAGATAGGACTTGGAAAATGATGATTTCGCTATAATGCATTCTATCTCATGACAGCAAACTCAACAAAATCGGGCACTGCCATACTAGATAATGATTAAGCCGAAGTTTCTTGTGTACAAACCCACAAGCGTTGTGGTTCAATATTGAACCTAATCAAAGCAAGCAGTTCCACAACATTTGTGGGTTGGAACACAAGAGACTAGGACATGGGAAGTCATAGACTTAGTATTAGGGATAGAAACAGGATAGACGTGGCGGAGACTGGAGCTAGTTGGCTGATAGTAGGTCTGTTCTTACCATTGACGTGTCCCATGTGGGAAAGGCTTGACCATGAGACTTACTCATAGGCTTTAGCCTCTAATTAC